CCTCCGGGCCCGACGGGGGCTCCCGATGGCCGTTTGGCATTTTCCCCCTTTTTCGTCGGGTCCGCCCGAAAGCATTTTTCAAAGCCTGTCGGGATTTTCAGCACAAGTGCCATTCCTGTCGGGACCCGATCGGACTGTCGCACCCTGGTTGCCACAATGCAGCGGTCCCTGGTTTGTCCTTGCTGGTTTCGGGTGGGTCGCCCGCGTGGCTCTTGTCGGGGCGCTTGAGGTTGCAGATTCGTTAACGGTGCAACACAGGTAACTGTCATTACTATCGGCCACTAGTGCAACTTTCACAATGGGTTGGTGTTGGGAGGGGGTTTCGCAACGGGTTGTTTTGCTACGGAGTTGTGCTTGCGGTTGGCGGCTTAGCTACTGTAACGCACCACGGCAGGACTGAGCAATAACCTGGATTCCCGATATGTGGCGGGTGCAGGTAGAGGCGACGCGGCTTGCATGTAGTAGCAATCTTCATGCAGCATTCTTAACACCCAAGCTAGCTTCACGCGCAAGTTTGCAAAGGCAACCTGCAAAACCTAGTTTCGGAACTCGCGACCAGCGTCCTGTCTACTCTCAACCACAATGCCTAAGCACAGCAGCACAATTGTGGCACAATTCTCGCAGGGCTTGACGAGACACTCCTAACGCCCTATGCGTCCAATGACACTCCTAACGGCCCCTTGCGCAAAACTTACAAGTGCGTGCATGCAGTAGCGGTTCACAGGATACGTACCTAGCTATGCTTAATTACGCGATTGCATACAACTGACCTTGGATGGCGGCTTTTAGAGCCAACTGTTGTCGAACAGTGAGGCCTGCTGCCTGTTCCGCATTCAGCAGTAGGAAAGCGTCGCCGACCTCGGCATCTACGTCAAAGCCTAAATCTGACAGGGCCGCAACAGTTGGCGAAATGGATCCGGCGTCCTCGCCCCTCACAGAAAGCAGGGCTTGCCGGATGGTCACCATGTCTTGGTAAACACTGACCCTGTGTGATAATTCAATTGTATTTGTAATGTCATGAAGTTAGTTGACGAGCTCTCGGAATACATGCGTGACCATGTGGTAGCTTCGGAGCTAGCGGACGAGGACTTGTGTACGACAAGTGAAGTTGTGGCGCGCTAGCCTGGCTATTTAACCGGACTAATTTAGGAGCATTGAAAGTCTGAGATGAGATTGAAGATACCTGAGATGAGATATCGATACTCTGTGCAAACGCCAGTATCTCGGTTAGTAAAGTCAGCTTACGCTTCCCATTCCCCTTACAGTACTGGAGGCCACTGTAGTATTTCGGCCAGGCCTTACCCATGTCTTCACTGCGTTAAGTAAGCTGAGTTAGTTGGGCGTAAGGCCCAGTATATGTTTGTCTAACTGTTTCGCACGGCCCGTGTCCCCAGGGCTGTTTCCTCAGTTTCCTGATCTATCCGGGTTAACTTGTGGCTGGGCATTCCACCGACCTCAGTTTTTGGGTGTGTGTGGGAGGTTGTATGCCTCGCGGCCATCAGCTCACTCAATCTCGGTCGCCGTTTGTTGTTTAGGGAAGGTCTCCAGGCCAACATGACCGTATCTACGTCAACGCTTAACCGCATTACTGACGATGTTATGTTATCTCTGACTTTTGGGCCCGTTTAACTGCTTTTGCGGCACGGGATAACTTGCCAAAACGTTGGGGACACGTGCCTCACAACCACCCTTTCTTATATCTCAACGACGCAGGCAAGGTTGTTTGCCGCTTACTGATGTCCAATGATGAGGTTTGAGGGCTATACTAACTGAGGCCTTGTGTCCAGTGAAGTTAGTACGGCCTGGCCGAGTTCTTTTTGAATAATGCCTACAATGTTGTGCGGGATGCGTTCCTAGGGGGCGCTGCAGTCGACCCGTTCGGGGTCCACTGTAACAATCGCATCCTCAGGGCCGTCATTTGTAGCGCGCATTACGCTGGTTACCTTATCATGTTTTTGTTGTTCAGCGCGCGCTGATCAACAAAATGGGTCCCATCGTTGTGCCTTCGGCTCGTCAGCGAGACCCATCGAATAGAGTGCAGTGGAGAATATAGAACACTAGCACCATATAGTTAGCCCATCTAATTGAAGCACATTTCATAGTGCTAGTGGCGGTATCGCTAGGCATGACTCCATTCCTGGTCGGCTCGCAGGTTAACTTTATCCCAGGTCACCACTGTCCATCAACTAGGGGCGCAATACCTTCCACCATAGGAAGGATTATCGACCTTGATAGGTCTCGATCACGTTGGTGTGCTGGAAGTTGGTTGCATGTGGCTCTTGGCAGGATGATGTTACCGAGCCAGCATCCGCCGCTGTAACGCAGGGGCTTTCAGTCTGAGCGATTTGGGAGGCAGCTGCCTCGTTGCGGTGCCAAAGTTTTAACAATGCTTTTCGGGCGCGTAGGGTGTCCAGCTTTGTGCGTTTTTTTGGTATGTTGTTAGCTCCGTAGCTTCTGATGTTTATCGCTATTGCTAAAAATTGACGCGCTATTACTTCGCATGACGGTAGGCAGTACAAATCAGCAATAATGATGTCGGCGGTGGCGATAGTGATAAGGGTGTGTTCACATGTAGTCCAATTGAGAGTCTGATTGGGAGTCCGATTCGGGGCGGCTTTCTGAATTGTGTTCACATACGATTCGCTGCACGGCGCGAGGTGCCACCGCGCCCAGCTGAAGCTCCGCGGCTACGCCCCATCACCCAAGGCAAGCCAGCATTATCTAGGAACAGAACAGTATAAGTATCGTTTCTATGGCGAAAATTATCAACAGGCTTGTACATACATAGCTGCAGGAGTTCGTGAAAAATGCTCGGTGCGCTTTGCGTGAATTAACAATTGGAAAATGTTCCTATAGTATTGTAATGGTAATCATGAGAAACGGTTTGTTAAACAACTTTGTTTTGAGAAAGAAAACTGTGAATCACGTCGAATCATACCCGAAGAGGCCCCCCCGGACCCCAATTCCGTCCAATTCAGAGTCCAATTCGCATGAATCAACCCTGATTCGCCCACATGTGACACGTCCTAATGAATTAGGGCTCA